GTCGTCGTGGGCGTCCGCCAAAGCGCATCCACATGTCAGCACATACAAGTGCAGCATCGGTGTCCACACATGTGCTCCAAATCGAGCGACAATGCTGGATGCAGCCTCCTTCGGTAGCTTATCGCAATGTGATCGATCTGCGTCCGAGGCTGGTAGGCGCCAAGTTACCCTCCGGCGGGTGCTGTGTCAGAAATTAGTGCTCGCAAGAAATAAGCGAGCATCTTCACACAAATGAAGTAACCGCCCACCGTTATCATTACAGGAGCCTACACCGTGCTGACCGCCCAGATGCATTTCATCAGTGGACAACTTTCCAACTTGTGCGTTCAAATCCCCAGCCAGCACAACAGTGTCCGTGTTTCTCCTGTGGCGAAGGAGCCGAGGCAGTTGGCGGTAGAAGCCGTTCTTTACCGAATTATCACTACAGCTTGTGGGCGCGTAGGCAGCGATGATGAATAGACACCTATTAGTCCCGCGCGACGTCGAAGCTTTGAACGAGCCAGCCAATCGGACCGCACACATCCGGCTACTGATTGGAATCCAATCAACCAGAGCAGCTTCAGCCCGGGGACTCAGGGCAATGCCAACACCAGCTTGGCCGGTGCTCGAAGCTGCATCGTCACCGGATAGGCGCAGTGAGAAAATACTGTTTGCGTCACCTGAAGGGGATCGCAGAGTGAGCACAGAGCTCGAGTCTCGCAGGCGGGTCTCTGATAAGCAGCAGATATCGATTGAGAGGGTCTCCAATGTTCGGGCAAGTGCTGCCTGTTGACCGATTTGTAGCAGTGTGCGTACATTGAGGCATGCCAATCTGAAGGAGGATCGAGGGCTGGAAATGGAAGCCGATGAACTGGAATGGAGCGCTTTGTTGGACATGAGCTTGTCGACAGGAGAGGAGTGACGCTCCGCGTTTACATGTGAGTTGAAATTAGAAGATAAATGCCTAGCAAGGCATGTTGGGGGAGGGCCATGAATCGGGGGGTTGCAAACTGGGGGATATAAGTGAAGTTGGAACGGGACGGTAAGAGAGACAAAGCGTAAATGGGGGAATAAGAAGACGGGAAGGCTTGAACAGTAGCATCCAAACCCCTATCCACCCTGCTCGATGCAGCGGATAAGGCACCGGTGATTATCCCCTGCGGTGGCCAGAGCATCAGCAATTTGTTTGAGGTAAGATTCATGGTATTGCGTGGGAAGGATACTGTCAGGTTGCCAAGGCCTAGACAGGAGAGCGATTAGGGTTCTCAACCAAAGTCTTTGGTTTAAAAACCTGACTGTAAGGCAGCGGGTTTGGCGTTGGGCTACAAGGAGCCCGTTTTAAGGAATAAGGTGCCATCCTTATTCCAATCCCCAACCTGGAGGACCAGGAGGCTGAGTTTGTCTGACCTCTAACCATTGACCAATCTGGTATGAGTGACTCTGAAGGTGCAAAAGCACCACCCAGCATAGGTCAATGGATCGCTGAGGCACACAAACCATCGCACCGCGGTAAGGTCCAGCCTCATTGCGACTTTTTCCGAAACTAGTGCAGTTTGGATGCGACACAAATGAGACCGATGCCACGATGATTGGAGGAAACGGCTCGGCCTCCTTTTTCGTACATAGGTCCGATATCCGTTAATCTCCAGTCGAATTGGATGGTTACAGTAATCGAAATTTGATGAAGGAGGGATATCGGTTCACAGCACTCCATGTTTGAAAAGCGCACACAGATGTTCATTTGCGCCAGGTGACTTGCGGCCCATTAGCAGGTGAGGCTCATAAGAAACCTCATCGTCAGTCGATAGAGAAACATCCACGCATTATGGTGCACTGAGTCGCGTAAGATGGACTCAGTTCTGCTGGTGGCCAGTTGAACTAATCTTCAATTGCTCTGCCCAGCTTGCCAGACGATAATCACGACTCTGCTTTTGTTCGCCGTCCTTTTTACGCAGAACCTCACTCATTGTCGACATTCTTCTCACCATGGACCGATTCATTTAAAAGTTTGTGGGAGTTTCCTGAGGAGGCTCTCCGCTTCCTCCCAACATTATCTTCATTATACACGTTAGCTGCAGGTGGAAAACACCTCAGCTATTGTGCCGAAATACCAAAGATCAGAAGAAAAAATGTGGCACGCCGACTGAGTCCCCAGTAACGGATGGACATCGTTCCGGTGAGCTAACAGCTGACTATCGTGCCGTAAAAAAAAAGTTATATTATGCCTAACGAGTGAGATCGTGATTGGAGGAGGAGGCTAAGCAGGACGGAATGAACAAAGGCATTCACAACACAGACGCCATTGGGGCCGGCTCCTAGTCATATCAGCAAATGTGTCCAACCAAACGCGTTCATCGTCCTTAAGACCCCAGCCAGGCAGTCGGGATGCACCAACCGATGCCAACTACGAAGTGAGGGTTTTCATTTCTCTCGACCAAGTCATCGCTTGGCCTCCTCTTCCAACCGCATCCCGTCGTGCAAACAATGCACGTCGCGGAAGTCGGTGTGCTGGCATGCGCAACACGTGGCCCGGCCATCGGAGCCTGATGCGTGATATAATGGTGCTGAGCGGTTCACTCGCACTTCCTGCACCAAATACGCGACGCCGAAAACGCTCATTGCTCACGCGGTGCTCCCACCAGACATGGGCTAAGCTGCGAAGGCAGCGATGATCGAATGTGACGAGCCTCCTCATGTCTGTCGACCTCATGTGCCAGGTTTCACAACCATAAAGGAGAGTTGGACGGCTGCGTTATGAACTCTGCCCTTCAGGGTGAGAGGGATGTCGCGTCTGCGCCACAGGTGGCGGAGGTTGGCAAAAGCACCTCGAGCTTTTGCTATACGGTTCATAACCTCATCTTCAATCCCACGAGCACTAATCCAGCTGCCCAGGTACTTAAATTCCTGAACGACTTCTAGCAGATCACCACAAAGCGCAAGCGTGGGTCATTGCCAGTCTTGGAGAACTTTGCATTTCTATGGAGCAAAGCATAGCCTAAAACGATAGATAGCCAGTGCTAATCGGTCCAGTGCTGTTTGGCATGTTTGGGAGCTGTCACAGATTAGGGCAATATCGTCCGCATACTCCAAGTCAAGAAGTCGCTCATCAGGAAATAGCTCCACACCTAGGTCGTGTCCAGCGAATACTGATTCCATGACTTCGTCAACTACGAAGTAAATACGGCCCGGTCAATAGGGCGCTCAATGCACGAAAGAGAAAGCGATAATCTAAATTGGTTAAATAACCTTACAAAATGTTCAGTTTAACGTTCCAAGCGTTTTGAGAAGCTGTGGATCGGCTGTGCACTCTCATCGCGTAGTGTTTCGTTAACACCAGGTCTCCTTCCTATTTCCCGTATCAGACGGAATAACTTACGATGATTACCAACGGTAGCGGCTGTTTCCATTTCCGATGTACGACGAGACCACCAGGCTTCGCGATCTCTCTTCGGGCTAGCACGCAGTTTTGCGAGTCTCATTGTATTCGCTTCCAGCCGGAATGCGTCGACGCGCATTCATGAGTTGCAGACACTGCGTAGATCCCCATTCTCATTGCGCCTGTTTGGCGATGACGCAGGTTCGAATGCAGGTTAAACTGGCGTCGGCATTGTTTTGAGTCCCCGAGCTGATCTATTTGATCCCTGTCAACACCTTGATGTGCGTCGTTAAGTAGGTTGGCTCGTTCCAGACTTCGAAGTCCCGCAGGGACAAACGGTGCCTGTTTGTCATTGCGGCTTACGTCGGCACAAACTGCAGCCCTGATTTGGTGAATGATGATTTCTATCACCAACTTAACGATCTTCTATGTACCAGAAGAAGCACTGATACTGTGGTGCTTGCTGGTGATCTAAACGCCTAAGTCGGAAAATTGTTCTCTGATGAGCATCATCTGGGCGGCCAACGTGGTGTAAGTTCCTGTAATGATAACGGTGAGTGATTGCTACACTTGTGTGAACGTGCTCGTTTCTTTCTCGCAAGCACTAGCTTTCAACATCACACCCGCAGAAGAGTGACTTGGCGCGCACCAGTCGTGAACACAAATCGATAACATCGTGATTAGTTGCCGCTGGAGAGGCTGTGTCCAAAACATAGACCCCGATCGCGCACTTGTGTGTGCTGATCCGCGGGTGCGTTTCGACGGACGTACGCAGTGTCGCTCTGAGTGCATTAACACCAGCCAGCTGGCGAAACCGGATGTTCTGAATGCGAATCGAACTACGCCGGCGTCTGGGCTGATTAAGCGTCCACTGAACACCGTCGAAGTTCACTGGTCGCATATTCGTCAAACGTTACTATCAGCAGCAATGTCTTCATGTGGCAAATTAAATTGCCAACTTAGACATTGGATCTCTCTTTTTACGACCCGATAGTCGGCTGTTAACTCGCCGGAACGATGTCCATCCGTTACTGGAGACTCAGCCAGCGTGCCACTGTTGTTGCTTTTTCTTCTGATCTTTTGTGTTGCGGCACAACAGCTGAGGTGTTTTCCACCTGCAGCTAACGTGTGTAATGTTGATGATGATGACGACGAGCTATTTGATTATCTGCGGACCACTTACGTAGGTGCATATTTTTAACCAATAATTTGATTTACTCGGTGCACTTACAAACTGAACAATTAACAACGTAATTATGCATGCAGTTTTGTTCCAGGGTCTTACCCTCGCTGGTGCGTACCTTCTTTGACGAAGGCCTACTGATTTGCTCTAAGCTTCTTCTCACCTTTTGCGTTAGTGCTCCCTGTGTTTGACAACTATCTACCTGCGATTTACATTAATCCATTGATATTTTTTCGTCTATTATGCATTCATTCCCGTTTTTACTCGTTTCCCCTTCTCACTACATCTTTTTATCGACATTACAACGTGGGTTATTCTAAGCGTACCCACTGTCCTCACTACTTTAGTCAAATATATTTATTTCCTTTAACGTCCTAGATTTCACAATTTCTTTTCCATTTTCTTATATAGATTTCTTCATCTGCCTGTTTTATACCACTGTCTTCCTTTGGTTTCTTTTAGATGGTTCGTTACTGGAGGCATCGCGGCAAGGAAGTGTTTAAACGGCTTGAACCTCATATTAATAAATATTTTCCTTATCATGAGCCGGAGCTAGACCGCGTTTCACCAATGCAAGCGGAAATGGCGGGGAAGAAAGTCCGAGTGCCATTTAGTTTGGCGCTTGGTCAGATCGTTCCATTTGGTCAGGATTTGTACTCATCTCACCCAAACATTGTGAAAGTGCGCATACATAAACTGTGTCTGAACAGGTTTCTGTTAAAGGTAATTTGTATAAATAGTGACCTTCTTTTATCCCAGTATTATTATCAAACGGCCACCTATTGGGCACACACCCAAGGCATACCCACGGCGATCGGAGATATCGTTTTGGTGGAGGAGACGAAAGTCCCAGTAGCTTTTCACACAATGTTGAAGCTTTGCAAAGTTGTCTATCCGGCTGGCCTAATTCAGGATCCAATCACCGGTCTTGTTAGCTCAGGTGCACATTACAGCATAGATGACCTAAAGACCATTCTTCGTTCACCATTCCCCTCTGGGGATAAAGGTGTCAAAGAGACGTAGCAATTTACTTTTGAACAATCACTTCTGGACTGTGTATATGCATTCACTTCACAATCTTCTTTTCCTTGTCACTCCTTAATACAATATGGCGGCGATTCCTTACCCACAAACCAGACTCACGGAGTGTTCAGCCTCACTCACCCCTTCTGATTTCTTCCCAACACGCTCTGACTGTTGCACCCAAGTGAAATCAGAACAGCGATATGGTGGTAGGATAACTTCAGTAGCAAGCGCAAAGCGGTACACTCCACTCTTCGCATATGATCAAGCACTAACTGGATGAGCTGATAGTCACGTGCGCTAGTGAACGACTTCCATTTCCTAAGCGCAGAACGAAGCTTGATGGAAATGTCCAATATCATGAACGGTCTCGTGCTTACTAACTTCATCGAATTATCCAGTTCAGGATACCTTCAATCTAAGCAACAGAGTAGATAACAGCGCAAGCTAGCTAAAGGAGAATGTGGTACGTAGTTTGAGCATTTTTTGCCCAGCGTTCACACCATACATTCCGTGACAGGTGCAAAAAACAAAAAATTCTTAAACTCAACTGGGTCCTTCACAAACGTAACCATACATTATAACGCCAATCAGCGCATTTCTTATTTTGTTCTCATCTGCCAGTTTTATTTCGTAGTTGGAACAAACAGATCAACCAAGCAACGACGAACGACTCTGGATAATAGGAAGCCGCCGAAAAACGAGTTAGACCATTTTCTTTAGTAACGAGAGCATAAAGGAACATGCGGTAGAAGACCGCTTAAGTGCGCCCTTATTAGTTGTGTAATATGTGAAGACAGCAAGTCCGTACTTCCTTAGAAGAATTGTTTGATGTTTATTCTAGTGGGAAGGATGTAGTAAGCTACCCTATTGTGGCTTACTTGAAAGCTTATCACTAGGTATTTCGGCTTCCTACATACATATGGAGATAGAAGAAGCTGTCCAACATACCTGATACCATTTGAGCAGTGGGGTGGCAAGAAAACGCTCAATACGTTCTTGTGATTGAATCACAACTGCCACAGGTTGTAGCATGCTCCAACGGCTAGCTTGTAGGATCGACAGGGTAGAAATTAGGAGACACAACTGCATCATCGGTAGTACAAAAATGTTCGCCTAGATTCAACATGCCGCGGGGTAACAAATGCTCAAGTGAAAGGATACTCAGCCCATCATGCATCACAATAAATATTGACATATACTCTCTTCACATAACGGGTGAAACGATACCGTGCGTTAACAGATCAATAAATGGCGTGTTCTGCTTTGAAACTAGTATCCTTCACCGTATGAATGATCGCAGAAATGACAATATGAAAAAGGAACAAACTACCAAAAACAAGGAGCACCTTTAATGTCATGCAGCCGGGTAGACAGTGAATACATGCGTCGGAGAAGAATGCGTGTCCGTTCAGTCCAACTCAGGGTGGACAGATGATTTCTGATGTGCAATCACACCCCCCATAACATCGGTTTAAGAGTGAAGTACTAAATTAACGGCTGTGTTTGGCATAGTCTAGTGCCTAAGCACGTCTGACATGCAGGTTTCCACCCGTTCAAATGAATGGTGTGCATACGGAAGGAGAGTGGACCTGCTCCGTTGGAATCTTTGCCCACGTTTATATGCCTCAGTGTTATTTCTTCAGGCTCACACTGGAAAACAGGTGAGTGGAAGAAGCTGTGTGTGGTACAGCGCAACCCACCCATGGTCTCACAGCGGGCGCATGCATCCTGTGGCTGTTGGCAACCATGGTAATAACGAAAACCCGGAATCGGATACCGCCGAATGCATATAGTGCTCAAATATCAACATCGCGCAATCCGCTTGAGATGAGTATCATGTGGATGAGTCCCTTACTGCTTACAATCCGAATCTCTATGCGCTACAAGTAACTGCAGAAGTCTCAAATCCAAATGACCAGCATTAGAACGTAAGCATTTTGGCCCATGAATTAAGGAGTATGCTATTCGAGAATCGACGCGTTGATATATATGCTGCGAAGTATCCACACCAACTAACGGCAAATCGTGCGATAGCATTAATGATAAATTGGTATCCTAGAAAAGGGGCATGGGAGATTTCTAGTGACTTGCTGCAAATGAGCTTTGGCCGAAGAACCATAAGGCAAGCTGCAGAAATCAAGTCACGAGGCAACAATACTCAGTGATACGGTCATTAGTCATGCCAAATCCATCTAAAGGTACCCAGTCTGAGGTGATACTAATGCTGCATGGGAACTCACATACTGAGTGTGTGCGCATTCGTGTATCAACCAATCAGTGTCCACTATTAATTCGCATCGAAATGGAAATCGAAGTTAAGACAATGTATATTTGGTCCCACCCTTCACTGAATAAATATTGTTGCGAGTTGTTGTTAAAGGCGTTTATGAGACAATACGAAATGCGTGCATTTGCCAGTCTTCGTCTTCTTACTGCGCTTTTCAAATTACTAAAGGGAACTAACTGTTTCAAATTCCAGCTGAAACAGTCAAGCTACTTCGCCGCATTGTCAACCTGCGATATAGGATTGCTTGCAAGCGTGTGGAAATATCCTTCATCTCCGAATGTGTCCGCCAGCGTCGTTATTCTCGATCGATTATGAAGATGTTACGTAGAAACAAATTGAGGCCCTCTCCAGCTAATCTTAGACGGGTTGCATCCGCTCATCTTGAGACGGCGCAAACCAGACTTGTGGGTTTACTCGAGGCACACATACGCCTATTTCCCGTCATCGGAAACTTGTCCCTCTGTTGTGGTATTGCATTCTCTTGCTTTTGTAAAACCACCGTTGATCGCATAAAAGGATTGCGTTGGCTCGTCTAGAAAAGTCACTGATGAACAAACAAGAAGAAGTGGCCGTTACTCGTGACCCCCGGTAAGTATGTGGTGAATATGTCGGATTTGAAGCTTAATGCCTTACAATTGGAAGCATTCTCATTCGGCATAGACTAGACGGTTAAATGAGCTTCTTATTGAATAGCAGTTTGAAAACTTCTTTGATCAGCTGAAAGATTTACAACCAACCAGTGTTGATAAGCTCATATGGTTTAGAAACAAGCTGACAGATATTGCTTATGAGGTTAAACATGTGCCAGTAAAAGAGAAGTGTGCGCTTACAAAATGACATTTACAGGCGTTCCGTGAACTACGTGCAGAGGATGTGATTGTAATAAAGCCAGATAAGGGTTCTGGTGTAGTACTCATGAATAAGGATGAATACATAAAGGTGACAGTCATACTCGAGGACACAAGCAAATTCAAACGACTTGAGAGGGCAGAGGGTGTGGCTGTGATAGTCTCGCATAACTCGTCACTTACATGTGCTTCATATGCATCTTCTGATTTGCAGTGATACGTGTGACAGATTGAAGCCGACTGGCTCCACTACTCCTCAGCTATACGGGCTACCGAAAGTACATAAGAGCGGGGTGCCACTCAGACCGATTCTACCGATGTTAAACGCGCCTCAACATAAACTGGCTCGCTGGCAAGTGAAATTGCTTTCTGCGCTGCGAGAGTGGACCAATCTATACAGCCTCAAAGATTCTTTCGAGTTTATCGACGACCTCGACATACTTAATGTATCCGATAAAGTCATGTGCTCGTTAGATGTGGAATCGCTGTTTACCAAAGTTCCCCTGCACCAAACTGTTGATTGCATTTGTAAACTAGCAGAAAGTTCGCTGTGTCCCCTACCGATGCCCGTTGAGCTGCTAAGAGACTTGTTGTTATTGTGTACGGATAATGTCAACTTTCACTTCAGAAACACACCGTACTGTCAGATTGATGGAGTAGCGATGGGTACTCCATTGGGCCCGGTACTTACTGATTTATTTATGTTAATAGTAGAGCGAGGTGTCTGGAGAAATATCTCGACTGCCATAATACAAACGCTGCGTGGACGATAGTTTGGCAATTCGTTCATCGGAGCATCAGGTGGAGCAGTTGGTAACGCAAATAAATTCTGCGCATGCCAACTTGCGGGTCTACTGGTAGAGAAGCAAAATTGCCTTCCGTACTTCCTTCCTCATCAGCCGCAGAGAAAACGGGCAGATTAAGAGGTCTGTCTACACAAAAACATGGTCCGGGCAGTATCTGCATTTCACTAGCTTCATACCAATGCGATACAAGCGGACGCTCGTGAGAACCCTGATTAACCGTGCCAGACGAATCTGCTCCGCCGATTGCCTGGCTGACGAACTGCAGTTGATTACCAACACACTCATTGAAAACGGCTACTCCCGAAGGTTCATCGAGAAACGTAGTCAAGTGCGACCAAGTGACCTAGTGCATATGGTACCTAAGAAGCCTGTAATTATTGAACTACCATTCAAAGATGACGTCTCCTCGTTGAGGACCACATGCCGTCTGATCTGTGTCATGCAGCCATGTGTCACGCTGCCAAGGTTGTTGTCATTAACAAAACCCAAGGACTGCCACATCCTTTTGCAAAGGAGGCTCAGCCTATCGGGGCCAAATCGCATTGCGTCTATCAATTCATTTGTGACTACGGCCCCAGTTACATAGGCAGCACCGATAGAACATTGAGTTCCCGAATGAAGGAACATCTACCTAAGTGGGTTCAACGTTAGACCGCGCAGGAAAATGGTCAGAGCCAAGCTGCTTGTCTGCGTAAGCCACCAGCCTCTTCGATCGGCAGACACTTATTGACCACAGGCCACCGAGTCGAGGTCACTCGGCGTTCACAATCCTATTACGGCACACCAATTCTCCCCTCCTCCGTTTCGCAGAGACGATTGCAATTTACAGGATTAAGCGGCTGCTTTATGTTCAGAAACAATTATCGGTCAGCATTAGACTGCTCTGGGGATAGGGGTGATAACCCTGTCTCGCTTATTGTGTGTTGGTCTGTTTGTTTCTTTGCATGTATAAATAAATAAATATTGTTGCGAGTAATTGTTAAAGGCACTGATGAGATAATACGAAATGCGTGCATTTGCCAGTCTTCGCATTTTTACTGCGTTTTTCAAATTACTAGAGGGCATTAACTGTTTCAAATGTCCCCTAAAACCATTTCCCAAACGCCGAAAGAATATATAAGTTGCGCAATGTTAACATTTTAATTATTCTCCTCAATCGCGAACGCAAAACAATTAGGAAGTAAACAGAAGTGTACATATGGAACCCAACTTGAAACAAAATGATCAGTGAAAACCAAGGCTAAAAGGTTGCTTTTGTGCACACAACACCGGGCGAGACTTCGAGATAAGTAAGGCGTTGGGGATAGTAAGCTCGTTTTGGTTCT